CTACTGATAAAGCTTCTTTTAAATGAGTCATTTCCTTCCAAAAAGAGGAAAAACTGTTTTTACACTGTAGCAGAAATATCCACCCCGCCCTCAAATACGCACCCTCTGTCTGACCCCGCTCAAGCCCCCAGACGCTATGCCAGGAAGCACCAGTTGCTGGAAGACCTCCCATCTGGCTGCATGTCCCTTGTGGCATAGGGACCTGAGGTCACAACTGATCCCCCCACCAGAGGCCCGTTCACTCAGTCTTGTGACAGGAACACACTTGCCTCCTCAGAAGCTGGCCATCGACCTGGTTGTCCCGATTTACCAGGTGGGGCATTCATTTCTGTCTTGTTCTGTCTGTCCTCCTTCCCGGCCAGTTTCTCTCTCCTCTGTCTTTATCTTGCTCTCTTTTCCTATCACTTCATTTGTTCATTTGTTTGTTCATTCATTCATTCATTTGTGCATTCATTCATTCCTTTTCTTTGGGCCTTATTTCTTGAGATTGTGTCCGATCCATAGGTTTCCATTCTTGATTTCTCTCCTATTCAGGTGGCCCTCTGCCATAAGGATCGCTTGCTAGCCCCTGCCCATCAATAAGCTGAACCATCCCTATCCCCTCCTCTGACCAGCCCCAGGGCTTGGGCTGGGTCAAGCTCAGGCTACTTGGATTTTTCTGCCAACTAGATAATATATTCATATCTTTTTAAAGATTTTTATTTATTTATTTGAGAGAGAGAGAGAGAAAATGGGCAGGGAGGAGGGGCAGAGAGAAAGAGAGAGAGATAGAAGCAGACTCCCTGCTGAGCAGGGAGCCCAAAGCAGGGCTCGATCCCAGGAGCCTGAAATCATGACCTGAGCTGAAGGCAGACGCTTAACTGACTGAGCCACCCAGGTACCCCTATATTCGTACTTTTTATCAGTTTTATTGAGCTATAGTCACATACATTTAAGTTCAACCATTTTAAGGATACAGTTCAATGACTTCTGGCAGAAGTATAAAGGCATGTGATGACTACCAAAATCAAGATACAGAACAGTTCCATCACCCCAGAAAGTTTTCTTGTGCCCCTTTGCAATCAGTCAGTCCTCTCCCCTCACCCCTGACCATTGGCAATGCTCCATTTTCTGTTACTACAGTTTGGGCATTTTTAAAAATGTCATATAAATGGCATCACAGAATATGTAGTCTTATGGGGCGCCTGGGTGGCTCAGTCGTTAAGCGTCTGCCTTCAGCTCAGGTCATGATCCCAGGGTCCTGGGATCCAGCCCCGCATCGGGCTCCCTGCTCTGCAGGAAGCCTGCTTCTCCCTCTCCCACTCCCCCTGCTTGTGTTCCCTCTCTCTGTGTGTCTCTCTCTGTCAAATAAATAAAATCTTAAAAAAAAAAAAAAGAATATGTAGTCTTATGTGTCCTGCTTCTTAAGATGATGTTAAGATTTATGCACACCATTGCATGTATTGCCAAGGAGTATTCCACTGTGGTTGTAACATAGTTTGTTCATTCATTCACCAGTTGATTGGCATTTGGGTTATTTCCCGTTTGGGGCTAAATGAATAAAGCCACTGAGAACATTCATGTACGAGTCCTTGTATGGACATATGTTTTCATTTTACTTTGATAACTACTTGTGAGTAGGATTGCTGAGTAGTGTGGTACGTGTATATTTAACTTTATAACAAATGGCCAACTTGTTTTCCAATGTGGTGGCACCATTTTACATTCGACCAGCAGTATGAGTTACAGTTGCTCCACATTCTCACCAACACTTGATGTGGTCAGTCTTTTTAATTCTAGCCATTCTCATAGGTGTGTAGTGGTATCTCATGGTAGTTTTACCTCACATTTTCCTCATAACTGGCTGATGTTGAGCATCTTTTCAAGTGCTTCTTGGCCACTTGATAGAACTTCTTTTGTGGCATCTTTACCCATTTTTGATTGGGTTGTTTGCCATCTTCTATATGGGTTGTAAGAGTTATTCTGATATTTTTTCATCTGCCTTTTCTTCTTCCTTCCTTCCTCTATCCCTCTGGCTCTACTTCTTTCTCCCACTAGGTCCCCGTCCCAGTTCCTGAGATCAGTTGTCCATGATCTCCCCTTCTCTCCCTCCTCCTTTGCCTCTTTCCCCCTTGTCCACACATGTTCTCCCTTCTCCTCCAGGACACCTCAAGACCTGAGAATCTGGCCTCACTTCCCATTCCATATCAGAAAGCACTCCATCACAAGCCTGCTGATCTTAGTCCTGCCTAGGTTTAGTGTTCCAAAAAGGGGGAAGGACCCCCCTCTCCAGATGAACACCTAGAGAAATAAAAAGCCTGGTGTCATGGAGGTATGGCTTTGCATTCTGGCATCTTCCTCCTCCCTAAATGATTAATAGTGTTTACATGTAGAAGGGCTTTTTACTCAAACACAACACTGGAAAGTCATGGGTATTAAGTGAAGTGCATCCTGCTTAATCAGTGGTCCAACCGTCTCCAAGAACATAAGATTAATTGTTCACATAACAAGGCTCTCCCCTTGGCACATCTCCCAAGCCCAGCAGGGATTTATCTTGCCCAGTCACAGGGAAGGAGCAGCCTAGCCCAAAGCTGGCAACTTGTCTTCTTTGTTTAAGAGAACTGGTGTGACAATATTTGATTGCAAAGCTCAGAGCACTTTATGCAGTGTTAGTGCTAGATAGGTGACTATGGAATGTTTTTTTTTTTAAGAGCTTACTTAGATATACTTCACCTGCCCTACAGTTCACCCATTTTAAAGTATACAATTTAGTGGTTTTTAACATATTCATGGATATGTACAACCATTACCACAACTTTACAACACTTCATCACCTCCAAAAGAAACCCTGTACTCTTTAACTACCACTCCCATAACCCTTCTTATCCCCAACCCCTGATCTACTTTCTTTCTCTACAGATTTGTCTATTCTGAACATTTTACATAAATGGAATTATATAATATGGTCTTTGGATCTGGCTTCTTTCATTTAGCATAATGTTTTCAAGGTTTATCCATGTTCTAACATGTATCAATACTTCATTCCTGGGCGCCTGGGTGGCTCAGTTGGTTAAGCGACTGCCTTCGGCTCAGGTCATGATCCTGGAGTCCCAGGATTGAGTCCCGCATCGGGCTCCCTGCTCGGCAGGGAGTCTGCTTCTCCCTCTCCCACTCCCCGTTTGTGTTCCCTCTCTCGCTGTGTCTTTCTCTGTCAAATAAATAAATAAAATCTTTAAAAAAAAATAAATACTTCATTCCTTTTATGGCTGAATAGTATTCCATTGTACAGATACACCACATCTTGTTTATCCATTCATCAGTTGATGGACATTTGGGTTATTTCCACCTTTTGGCTATTATGAGCAATGCTGCTAAAAACATTCATGTATAAGTTTTTATGTAGACATATAGTTTCATGTCTCCTGGGTATGTACTAGGAGTGGACTTACTGGGTCTAATGCTAATTCTGCTTAATCATTTGAGGAACCACCAGACTATTTTCCAAAGGAGTGACACCATATTACATTCCTTCCCACCAGCAACTGTATGAGAGTTTTAGTTTCTCTATGTTCTCCCCAACCCTTGTTATTATCTGACTGGAATGGTTCTCTGATCCTATAACTATATCCTCGAACTGTAAAACATACACACACAGCATACATATCTTCAGACAATTGTCAGCAAAGAACACACACAAAACTACCAAGTCATGCCTACCGGCACATACCTCTAGAGCTCACCCACACACACATAGAATCCCACACAGACATTTACAATCACAGGCTCTTGTACAGACAGTCACACACGGTACACATGCATATCGACCCACAGACTCACATGTGTGAACGTAATCAGACATAAAACAGACCAATGCTGTTGCCCAAGCGCGTACAGTTGTGACGGGTTGTGCACAAACAGAACCAGAGACACATGCACTCAACAACGCCTTCCCTCTTGCCCAAACACACATACACAAACAAGAGTTGTACCCGAAAAGCAGAGTCCTAAAAAGGCACACATACACCGTTACCCTCACTCATGGGGGGATAAGTGAAGATAGATTGAATGTATTTACTCTGCGTGACATGGAGATGGTTGAGATTACATCAGTCCTTGGTCTGCTGGGTAGGAAGAACTTTTCATTCATTCATTTGTTCTTTAAGCCACAAGTACATCCTGAGCACACAGAAAAGACAAGGATGAACCAGGGAGAGTCCCTGCCCGCGTGGAACTTACAGCCTAGTGGCGGGGGCAGTCACCTCCGTGAGAGGTGCCAAGAAGGAAGTGAGCAAGGTCATAGGGCACACAGGCAGGGTGCCAGGAGAGTAGTTTCTGGGTGTGTCTAGCACTGTTGCTCCCTCTTTCATCCTGGCAAAGTGAACACTATTCAGATTCACCTTTCATAAATCACTGGATAAACTGGTGTGTCTGTGTGTGTGTTAATACTAGCACTAGTAAGAGTGTGGGCTCAGGACCTAGATTACCCTGGTTTAAAATTTGATTTCTTACTAATTAAATGATCCTTCCCTCAGTTTCTCTTCCAGAATTAGGGATGATAACAGCACCTTTAGTAAGGATTAAATTAGCTGATACTTGTAAAGCACTTAGAAGTGCCTGGCCAGTGTTATGTTCTCTTTAGCAGCCATCATATCATTTTCCGAGAGTACGTTTCTATAGAGCGGGTGAGTGTACTGGGAGGGGGGTGGGGAGAAGCCAGGAGGGCAAAGATCAAGGAGCCTGGCAGTGCCCCGTTGACTGGAAACTGGATGAGTCTTCATCTTCTGCCATATCTGAGCAGTCTTTTGGAATGCAGTCCTGGCATGCCACCCCAGCAGGCCATAAACCAGTCGAGCCCCATCCGCTCTGCCCACAGCCCCAAACCACAGCAAAGATGCACGATGGGTGGCACCGGGCATGGCTCTTGGTTTTCAGCTGTGTCAGGCCTTTCGGCAGCAGCTCTGCTGTGGGCCTGGCTTATGGCACTCACTGGTTCTGCTTGGCTGTCTTTTCTGTCTATGTAGGTCAGCACTTACCACCCTGTACCTGCCTCCCCAGGACATTCCACGGCCATCGTCAGTCTGCCCGGCTCCCAGAAACACCTCTCAGCGAACATGTGAGTAACAAACTCAGCCCTCCAAGTCCAGGTCCTGGCCAGAGGGGTCCTCATGGCCATCCCTCTGCTGCTAAGCACCACCACTCCCAAACCATCCCATCCAGAGAGACAAGAGCTCCCCTTCCTTTGTATCCTTCACTGGAAATAATGCTGAAAAACACAAATTGGCAAACCACATCAACCTAACTCACTATTCTACAACGGTAGAAAGAAACTGGAAGAGTATACACGAAAACACTGCTGGGAGGTTGGATATTGAGCAATTTCTACTGACTTCCTTCAGATTCAAAATGTTGTGTCATAAATAGATACTGCTTTAGGATCAGCGGAAAATAAATATAGCATTTTAGAGGGGGAAAACCTTGTGGATGAGAACACACCCCCAGCTCCTTTGATAAAACCTCCCAGTGTCTCATAGTCCTTGGAGTCTAGAAGGACTTCTTGATGTCCATCCTGAGGCCATACACTGGTAACCTGAATCTGGCAAGCCAACGTGGGTTCTTTTTAGTGCTTTTACTCAGGCAGATATTCTCACTTTCACAGCCTCGCTAGTGTCTCCCCCCCTCCCCACGACGCCTACCTCGATGTTATTTATCTGCCTGACTCCTGTGTGGACTGGAGAGTGAAAGTCACTGCTCTCTTCCAGGGACATCTTGCGATGTTACAAGCCCATTCCCCTCCAGCCCACCACGCAGCCAGGATCCACTGTGTGCTCACAGACTAAAGTCAACTCCTGCCTCCCGATTTGCAGTGTCCACGTCCCTGCCTACATTAAGCCACTCCTGGGGGTCAAACATGTCCTCACTGTCAGGAGAGGGAGTGGATCAGAGAGGCTTGTGACCTCTCCTTTCCCTTAACTTGCTGGCTGCAACCATTTTCTCGGGTGATACTCTGAGTAGTATGAAAAAGCACCCTAAGCAGTAGCCATCACTTCTAGGTTCGAGACCAGACTCTGCCACTAATCCCTGGTCACCAGCTCCTGTCTCTGTCCTCGGCCGCTCTCCCCGCTGTCAAAATGCCAGGGTGGCCTAGCTTAGCGATTCCCAGCTGTGTGGCACTCTATGGAGGACGCAGGAGTTGGGGAGGGCAGGGGTGTGGACCCTCCGCGGCTGCTTCACCGCCACGCTCCGTCACCACTGCCTGCCTTCCGTCCTGAAGAAGTTTGTTATCACTGACCCAGGGGACAGGGGTCCCTGAGGTTCTGCTTCCCTTCGCCCTCTGCTGGTTCCATGGCCCTCTGCCAGGCAGGCTCACCTTCTTCACCAGTTCCCTTGTCTCCCCAGGTTTGTAGCCCTGCACTCCTACTCAGCCCATGGACCGGATGAGCTGGACCTGCAGAAGGGAGAAGGCATCAGGGTCCTGGGCAAGTACCCGGACGGCTGGCTCAGGGGCGTCTCCTTGGTCACTGGGCGGGTCGGCATCTTCCCCAACAACTATGTCATCCCCATTTTCAGGTGCGTCCCCTCCGTTCTCAGGCAGCAGAGGTCGGGTCACCAAGGCCGGGGGCCATCTGTGGGTTGCATCGCTGAAGGACTCAGTGCTCCTTCAGAGCGTGGGCCAAGAAGTAGCCCTAGTAACCTCCTAACACTTTATTTTTTTTAATAGTAACAAATTATCTTTTTTATAGCTCTTCACATTTTACAAGCACTTTCTCATCTTTTATCTCATTGCTTGTGCCCAAGAGTCCTTCCCGTAAGGTAGATAGTATTTTCCAGATGAGGAAAGTGATGTACAGAGTTAAGCAACCTGCTCAAGAATGGGGTTTCAGGTTTTCACTGTATAAACCCCCCAAATCCCATTCACATCCCGCCCCCTGACACTCCCATCTAATCGAGTAATGGGAACCTGCGATGATCAGAAGACCCTCAGAGCATCTTGGAAAACTTCCTAGGACACCAAGCCAGTAGGCAAGTTTCCGTGACTCAGACCACCGCCTGTCCATCCACACCCCAGGCCGCAGGCAGGTTACCCTGGAGGTCCGTGTCCCTCACAGCCTTCCCAGCCTTTTCCATTCTCTGGCATACCTGATACTTCTGCTTTGTCTGGCTGCTCGGACCATGACCACGGAGGCACAGGGGTCCCAGCACCACCCATGGCTCCTCCTATCCCTACCCCACGCCAGCCCAGGCACAGCGTGTCACAGGGCAGTGGGGCCATCCCCACACACCAAATGCTGCCTTTATGACATACCTCTGAGGAAACTGATAACCCACTGTACTCTCTGGGGGTCAGACCTGGAGTCATATGTCCAGTTTGGGGGACCTTCATGTAGGTGGGGCCCGGTGTCCGGAGGAGGGCAACAAGGATGGTGAGGAGACAGAAAAGTACACCATAGGAGAAACTGATAGAGAAACTAGGGTTAAGCTACAGAAGACGAGGGCCAGAGGGACCATAACAGGCTGTGTAGACAGGAAATCTGTTTCCTGAGGGGGCAGTGAACCAGTGGATGCATCTTAGAAGGTTTGGTTCAGTAAAAGGCTACACTTTCTAATGCATATATTTTTCCAGTAAGGTTGGCTGGTGAGGTGGTAGACCCCCTTTCTAGGAAGAGTATGGGCAAACTCTGGGTTTCCATAGATCTAGGCTTATATAAAATGATTTCTTCACATGGCAGAAGGTTGGAGTAGAAGTTATTTCCTGCAATGGAAGGTTTTTGGGAATTTGTTAGAAACTTGCAAAATCTCCATACACAAACTAAGTGTGTCTTTAACTGATGCTTTAGTTCATTCATTCAGCAAATATTTATTGAACACAAACTATTTGTCAGGCAACTTTCTAGACACTGGAGAAACACCATTGCACAAAATCTCTGCCCACTGGAGCTTACATTCTAGTGGGACAGAAAGACAAATAAACAAGACATATAAGCAACATATATGGTGTGTTAACAGTAAGGGCTAAGAAGAAAAATCAGAAAAGCAGGATAGAATTTGTGGTGGGGGGTGGTGATTAAAATTCTCGTATGTTGGTCAGGAATGGCCTTCCTGAGAAGGAAGAAGGAAGGAAATGAGGCAGGTGTATTCCACACCACGGGAACAGCAAGTACAATTGCCCTGAAGTAGGAGTATGCCTGACCTGAAGGCCAATAGGACTGGATCAGAACAAGTGAGGGGGACGTTAGTAGTAGATGAGGTCAGAATCGCAACAGATCATCTATAATTTCCTAAGGCATAATGAGGAATTTGGCTTTAACGCTATTGCAGGGTTTTGAGCATAAAAGTGACATGATCTAACTTACATTTTAACCAGAATCCCTGTAGTTGCTGGCTTGAGAGTAAACCGTAGGAAGAACAGAGACTAATTAAAAGGATATTATAATAATCTGGAGGAAAAGTGAGGGTGAACTGAGCCAACGTGTCAGCCATGGAGGCAGGGAGAAGTGGTTAAATTCTGGGTATACTTGAAGGTAGTCACAAAAGGATTTTCTGACAAATGAAATATTGGGTGTGAAAGAATAGAGGAGTCAATGTGAGTCCTCCTTTTTTGCCCTGAGTAACTGGAAAATGGAGTTGCCTTTTATTGAGAGATTCGGGAAAACCGAGAGGAATGGGTTCTGAGAGGTGGGCAGTGGGGGAGCAAAAGCTCAGCTGGCCACAGATTAAGTCTTAGATGCCTTTAGTAATCCCAGTAGAGATGTTGGAAAATGGTTGAGTACACAAGCCCAGCATTTTAAGGAAGACGGTCTGGGCTTGAAATGGTATTTAAAGCCCTGGGACTAGATGAAATCATCTCGGTAGGATCAGTTGCATTAGAGAGAATGACAGTGAGCCAGAAACTAAAATCTTCATGAAATGAGGGGAGAGGCTGAGAGAGAAAATGGTAACAAGGTAGAGTGGCAGGTGGTAGAGTCTGATACTACCAGTCAAAGCTGGGGAGGGTGGGAGAATGGTCTAAAGGTGCCAATGAAGAGCAAGGAAGATGCCCACCCTAACTTACGACCGTTTCCTCCATGACAGGAATTCTCTAGGGACTATGTCTACTACTAGGGCATTTGCTTATGCATCAGGCCTTAGCCCAAAGTCCTGGTTATTCTACGGAAGAAAAAAAAAAAAAAACCTTTAGAATAAGAGTGACCATGTAATTTGTCACCCAAACTAGGACACTTTTAAGAAGAAAAGAGACACACACTTTTAAAACACCAGGAGAACAGGTGTAAACTGAGACTCTCCTAGGAAAAGCAGGACAAATGGTTACCCTAACTAGAATGCATGTAGGATTCCATTCCAGTGGATTTCAAGACTCCAGCTTCCCTTTCCCTCCGTCTTGGCTTTTCTCCTGGGTACACCTATTGTGTCCTTAGGCAAATCATGAGCATCTAGACTCACCCGCTCCAAGATGGCAGCATGTCAAACAGTGGATGGAATGTCAGCCATAGGTTGCCATTGAATATGTCCCCCATCTCGAGTTCAGAGAATCCTGAACATGTGTATACAGAGGTGCCACTTACATGGGTGGGTGTGTTTGCTTATAGGGAACCAGCATTTTCAAGAAGAGCAAGTCCCTGTCAGAGTATATTCTCTGGAGGGCTGTTGGGTGACAGAGGATCAGTGCTTCCTGTGTGTGAAGTTCTCCCTGGTGGCCCCCTGATGCAAAGAAAGGTCCCGTTGTCACCGATCTTAGACATGGGTGACATATGCCCAATTTTTCTACCTGGGAGCAGCTCACCCTTGTTCTTGACCACCCTTTCCACTGTGGGAGGGCTGAATATTGTTGTCCTTTGTCCTACTTTTAGCAGGTTGTGTTAGGACTAAGGGTTTGGACTACATGTACAAGGCCCCTTTCGGCTCTTTGGTTCTGTGTATGTGTGAGGCTCTCCCCCAATCTTTGTTTTTCTGTTTGCAGTGATGCCTCTCACTGCCACCAGCCCCCTTGGTGTAGAGTACAGCCTTTTATAAAAGAGCCAGGGCTTGGGACGCCTGGGTGGCTTAGTCAGTAGTTAAGCATCTGCCTTCGGCTCAGGTCCCAGGGTCTGGGGATGGAGCCCCACATTTGAGCTCCTTGCTCAGCGGGGAGCCTGCTTCTCCGTCTGCCTGCCCCTCCCCCTGCTTTATGCTCTCTCTCTGAGAAATAAATAAAATTTAAAAAAAAAAAAAAAGAGCCAGGGCTCAAAAGTATGAGGTGCCCCCTGAGCATTTGCACGTTTGCTCTTATTAGCATTATTCCCTAATAAACTGGACCTGCCAGAGTTTTAGGACGAACTATAAAGAGACTAGAGCTGACCAGACTGGAAGGGTTTTCATTTAAGATTCAGCAAGTGAGCCTTTTAATTACCGAGGGAGGAAAAGGCTGCACCTGCTGCTGCTGGGAACTGTTTTGGAAATGTCTTTCCTGTTGCCAGCCCATTTTACAGGATCCGACATCTTGAGGCCTCTGTTCAAAAGACGGGCAGATGCAGCCCTTTGCCATGGAGGTCAGTGCTGGGGATTTCTCTCCACTGCTCAGCCCTTGGCTCCAGAAAATAGTCTGGAGCTCTTACTGGCGGGCAGCCCATTCCCTTCACTGACCACATCCCCAGGGACATGAGGCAGGGTGTCATCCATGGGTAGGAGGCCCCTTACTGCAAGCATCATCCTGGGCATCTGGCTGGATCTGTTTCGTGGGCAGAGTGGACCCTATTAAATGATGCCTCACCTGTCTTCGTACAACAGGCTGGCTCGTTGTTAAGCTCCATACCGCTTTTTCAGGCAAAAGGCAGAGAGAAAAGGAGGAGGAAAATAAGGGAAAATTCCCCAAAGAGAAACCCAAGGACATTAACGGGAAGGCCACCAGGGAGGGCACCTCTGAGCCAGGGCCTTGGGCAAGTCGGTCCTTCCCAGGGAGTTAGCAGAGGTCATTTCATCAACAGAGTGACAAGCTGATCCATGGACTGCTTGGGAGGGGCTGTGATCTTGGGGTAGGATTTGTAAAAGGGCAAGAAGGGTGTGTAAAATGACAGCCATTCCCCGTGGGGTTCAGGGAGTAGCAAGCTGGAAACAACTGACAAGGGATTGCTGTTCTATAAAACTTTGATACTGTTTTTCAAACTCAGAGCCCAAAGCTGAAGAATTAGAGTCTTCAGAAGGCATGTGTAGGGCCTACCCCCAGCCCTAGATTGTTTCTTTCAAGCAGGATGCAGGCTTTTCCTTGCTACCTAAATAATGAAGGCTTTAACCAGCCAGGACGGGGCGTGCTCAGTGGTAAGACGATACACTTCCATGGTAGAGCAGAGGGCCAGCCTGGACTTGGGTTCAAATCTCAGGTCTAGTAGATGCTTGGCCAAGTAACTGTAAGTCTCAGTTTTCTCCTCTATAAAATAGTAGCACTAATAGTATCTACCTCAGAAGGCTGTTGTGAAGAACCTGCGGGCTACTGTGGGCAAAGCACTGCCCAATGCCCAGCATACAGTAAGTGCTCAACACGTGTTAGCCCAGATGACTGGCATCAGTGCCGAAAGCATCACGAGAGCCATTCAACAAACATTTGTTAATAAGCAGTATATGCAGAACACAGAGGATATAAAATAAGTCATATAAAATCTCTGCCTTCAAAGAGTTTAGCATCCGGTGGAAACGTCACTGAATGAATAAGAAATCAGAATTTGGGGGCACCTGGGTAGCTCAATCAGTTAAGCGTCCGACTCTTGATTTTGGCTCGGGTCATGATCTCAAGGTTGTGGGATAGAGCCCCATGTTGGGCTCTGCACTCAGTGCAGAGTCTGCTTATTCCTCTCCCTCTGCTCCTCCCCCACCCCACTCTCAAATAAATAAATAAGAAAGAGAGAAATCAGAACTGCAAAGCAAGTTGAACACATACAAGATCTTGTGCTCTGAGCTCATGGGCTCAAGAGTGATCAGAGCTGGAGTGAAGAATGACAAAATTCAAGCCTTCCTGTTCCATCAGGGCCTCAATCTGAGATCCTGTCCCTGCCCTCAGCACACCCACACAGGGACCCAGCTGTAGGAGGTGAGGCCACATTTAGTATATGGTTGAGAGCGGAGAGGTTTTTAAAATAGGACTCTTGACTGAGCATTTTCTTTATTTCTTCTCTTTAAAATGCTTGCAACAACCAGAAAGACATCTAGTTTTCCAGATTCTCGGAGTCCTGGTCTCTACGCCACATGGACATTATCCAACTCCTCTGTGTCATCCCAAGGCAGCATTTCAGAAGGTGATCCCCGGCAGAACCAGCCCTTCAAGTCCGTCTTTGTGCCCACCGCCATAGTCGACCCTGTGAGGAGCACGGCCAGCCCAGGGACTTTAGGACGGGGCTCTCTTCGGAAATCTGGGCAGAGCAGCATGAGAAAGAGTAAGTGGTGGCAGAGAGGTACGTGCCTAGAGCTAAGTGAGGGTATCGGACTCTGGGGTAGACAGAGCACCTTTTGCAGAAATGAGATCTTGGCTTTAAAACAAGCCTTTGTAAAGGGTGCTTTTAATTCCCTAATAGCGACTGGTTTTACTGGATGAAGCCAGACCGACTTAAGGTCATGCCCTTGGTCACTCCATCCCCGTATACTGAATGGCTGGGATGATAGCAGCCCTGAGTGCCAACATATGATTAGAACACAGCCAAGGTGGAGGCTGGCCCCAGTTAAGACAGAACAAGCAAAGTACTTGCTGGATCATGCTTCTCAAACTATGCTCAGGGGTGCCAAAAGGGAAACATGGGAAGGATGGGGAAAGAAGCAAAGAGGGTTAAGGAGTCAATTCTCAGAGCCCCTAAATCTTGCTTTGTTATTTAATATATACACAAGGTTTAAAAAAATTATATTGTATAAAAATAAGTCTTTATATCCTTAACCCCTATCCCAAGTGCTCTTCCATGTACCTGAATAGTAGCTTATAATCATACTGCACTGCTCTGCACCTTGCTTTTGTTTTTACCTGTATAACATCCACATTGCTCACATGGCAAAACTTTTGTCTCCTGACATATTGAACTTCTACGTAAGACATCATTTTCAGGGATTTTACAAAGTGTTTAAAACCCATTTTTCTACAAAACATGAAGCTTCTATAATTTGCATACCTCTCTGGAAGACCATGAGCCACACAAAGCAAATCTGATTTATTCTACATCCTCTGACTTAAACTGGGCTCTGCAGTCTCCCTTGCTATCTTAAAAGACGATTAAATATGAAAGTACAGTATGGCTGGTCAAAGCAAGAGGGTGACATGTGGGACAGTATGCCACCCAGGAAAATGTGCCAAGAAAATTAAAACAAATGTCTTCGCCCCACCCTCTCCCGGTGCTTTCACCTGACCACCTGCCTGACCTCCACTCTCACTGTACTGCCTCTACCCCCCCTCCTCCTTCCTCCCCACTTGGCCCTTGCTCCGGCCTCTCCCGTCCCCCACACAAACCCTGTACTGAATGATCCACCACAGCAGCCGTGGGCAAGGGACTGGACCTCTTCAGTCTTCAGTTTTCTCATTTATAAAGTGGAAATAAAAGTTGTACCTACCTCATCAGGGTTACTGTGCAGATTTAGTAAAATAATCCATGTAAGACTGACGGCACAGTCCCTGGCACATAATAAGTCTCAAGAAATCCTAATTGTTTGTATAGGATGATCATCTTCTCAGTACGATCATGGCTACTACAACTACACAAGTCATCTTTGGTCCATCCAGTGCGTGAACTGACTCAGTGTTGACATGTTCACACTCAGTCTAGACCACTTAGGAGTGCTGAGAATTGTGTCCTATTGGCAATTGCTCACATTTCCTTTCACACACTCCTTCTCTACCTTGGCGGAGATCTTGATTGGCTTGGAGTTTTCACTGCTTGCATTGTATGCACATGTGATAAAACATTAAATCCCTTGGAAATTAGGAGCCAACAAGATAAATAGATGAGGCATAAAACCAATTTTTCACACATTTCCAGGAACCTAAGGACATGTCTGCCCAGGGCTGCTTTGACTTTCTCAGGTCCCGGAGGCCTTCTCTCTCCCTTTTCACAAGGTGAGGCTGGTCAAGCTATCAATCTACCCACAGCGAAGAGAAATGACAGGAGAATTGACTGTGTGCCTCATAGGGCTGTCAGTGGAAAAATAAATGTCTACATTGAAAGGGCAGACTTGTGTAAATGGCGCCAGGCTTGCTCACCGCAGCTGGGAGCACCGACTGTGTTTAGTGAGCGTTCTGCTTTTCACGTTCACATCAGGCCTGACAAAGAGTCGCAACGCAGAACACGGCCTTGGCTCAGGCCCTCTGTGCTGGACACAGATGACTCTGATTCATACACGTGTCCACAGGCTATCACAAAGACTCACATCTCTGACTGGATGTCCCCTATGGCTCCCTAAATGCTCGGAGACCCTTCTGGAGAAGTGGACTGCAGTGCTTCTCAGGGTGTTTCTCCTGTCCCCCTGCAGAGTGCACCGAAGTCCCGACTGTTCCCCTGGTCCCATACAGGACAATATGCCTAAGGGATGGAGGCCTCCGGTCTTCAGAAAATTTGCGGGGAAGGAATGACTTCCTGTTACTGAGGGAGGATCATCGCAGTTAACAAAACAAAACAAAATAAAGCTCAAGGAAGGGATAAAATCACACTCCTGGACCTTATATTTTTAGGGTTTGCCATCCTTTACCCAAAACCAACGAGAGCTAACAAACACGGGGCATTTATTAGGTTCCAGGCACTGTGCTAACACTTTGCACACATCATAAAGTGTAAGCCTCTCAGCCCTCTGAGACATTGCTATCACCTCCGGTTTACATCTGAGGGGCTGAGATGCCAGGAGGGGATGGGGCTGACTTGTCCCAGGCTCCCTGGGAGTAAGCCTAATTCCAGAACCTCTGTCATGGGACTTTGCAAAGCTCATCCACACACAGCCCGAACCTTTCCAGATCTGCTTCCATGTGGTGTCAGCGTTTGCCTGCACACACCCTCCCTTAATTCCACTTAGCTTCCTCCCCGTGGCCCCCAACAAAAGTGATCCCACTGCCACATGCCTACAGCTTCTTCAAATACCTGGTCAGAGCCCCGTCCCGCTCTCTCTGCTTCCCTCTCTCCCTCCCCACATCCCTCCCAGTTGACTGAGTCTCGTGTTTCTCAATTTCTTCTGTCTCTTTCTTTCTGTCTCTGTCTTTCGTTTCCTCTTTGGTTTGCATGCCTCTGTTGGCTTCTCACTGTGAAGCTGTCTCTTTAGGTTTGTCTTCTTCACTTTCCAACCACTAGGCCTGAAGCGAGAGAGCCAGGGTGCCTGTGTGCGCGTGTGTGTGTGAGGGAGAGAGGAGACAAATGGAAGTAATGTACCTTCTGACAGCGTCACCTCCCCCTCCCTCCCCCCCACCAAACGTTTGGCTAGCCAGTTATTTCCTGCCAGCATCAGCAAACAGCACTAAAAAAAGAATAAGGTCACCTTTGAAAGACCCTGAGAGAATGTGAGCACGCTCAAATGGGGAAAGCACTTAACTATTCTGGGATATCAGGACACATGGCTTACACAACCCCAGCCCAGCCTGCTGTCAGCAGCCCCCAGTGCTGATATCAGTGTCATATAATTCCTCAGATGGATCCCTGCAGAGACCCGTCCAGTCAGGGATCCCCGCCCTCATGGTGGGCTCCCTCAGACGCAGTCCCACCATGGTCGTACGGCCTCAGCAGTTCCAGTTCTACCAGCCGCAGGGGGTCCCCTCCTCAGCCTCAACAGTGGTGGCAGAACTGGGACCTAAGCCCACTCCCACTGGGGAGCCTGCCCTCACATGCGTCAGCAGGGGCAGTGACACCAGGATCCACTCTGCAGCCAGTTCCCTCATCATGGAAGGCAAGGAAATCCCCATCAAGAGTGAGCCTCTACCTAAACCACCTGCATCTGCCCCACCATCGATCCTGGTGAAACCAGAAAACTCAAGAAATGGCGTCGAAAAGGTAGGAGTGAGGTGACTAATTAGGGGGGCCGGACTCTATATCCCTAACTTTGCACAGTGTCCCAGCTCCTGAGATTTGTTTTAGTGGACAAAGAATCAAAATCGCAGCCTCAAAACAATCCTCACACACAGTGCTCCCCCACACACACAAACTCCCTCAGACCACTCACACCCTCTGCGGATGTCCTACTAGATCCCCTTTATGCTTCCTGAATATTTCATACATAGTTCTTTCGAACCCCACGGTGAGTTGGAAAAAACATGGCTTTGGCATCAGACACATCTTGATTTGAATTCCAGATCAGCTGCTTGCTATCTGGTGACTTGGCCAAAACACAACACGTTTCCAAGACTCTTTTTGCCTAATCTGTAAAATAGCAGTAAGAATAGTAACAGCCTCATAGGATTGATGTGAAGATGAAACCAGAGAAGATGTGTAAAGTGCTTACACAAGTGTTCATGATATAGAAGAGGCAAAACTGAGACACGGGAGAATTTAAGTGATTTATCAAGGTCACAGCAAATTATGACTCCAACAACTAACTTTTACTGTGACCTCTGTGACAGAGGGTCAGATCTTTTAACTTCTAGTCCAGGGCTTTTCCCACTAGAGACATGAGTTTTTGTAAAGTCTTAGGTTCTCATTAATACCCTTGAGGCGGGAGGAACAGTGAGATAGAGGAGGTGACATTAAGAAAATTAGGTGATTGTTATCTTTTACTTTATTGACCATCACCACCACTACTACCACCATCATCCCCACCACCAGTATCATCACCACCATCAATACCACCACCAGCCCTACCACCACCATCACCATCATCCCCACCACCATCACCCTCAGCACCACCACCACCATCCCTACCACCACCTTCACCACCACCACCATCATCCCCAGCACCATCATCACCACCACCACCACCATCACCCTCACCACCACCACCACCATCCCTACCACCACCTTCACCACCATCACCATCATCCCCACCACCATCACCCTCACCAGCACCCCCACCATGACCATCACCCTCAGCATCACCACCATCACCCCCGTCACAACCATCACCCTCAGCACCATCACCATCACCACCACCCCACCACCACCATCACCCTCACCAGCACCCCCACCATGACCATCACCCTCAGCATCACCACCACCATCATCCCCAGCACCATCATCATCACCACCACCACCATCACCCTCACCACCACCACCACCATCCCTACCACCACCTTCACCACCATCACCATCATCCCCACCACCATCACCCTCACCAGCACCCCCACCATGACCATCACCCTCAGCATCACCACCATCACCCCCGTCACAACCATCACCCTCAGCACCATCACCATCACCACCACCCCACCACCACCATCACCCTCACCAGCACCCCCACCATGACCATCACCCTCAGCATCACCACCATCACCCCCATCACAACCATCACCCTCAGCACCATCACCATCACCACCACCCCACCACCACCATCACCCTCACCAGCATCCTCCACCATGACCATCACTCTCTGCACCATCACCATCACCCTCAGCACCACCACCACCCTCAGCACCACCACCACCATCCCTACTACCACCATCACCCTCACCAGCACCCCCACCACGACCATCACCCTCAGCATCACCACCACTATCACCTCCACTATCATCACCATCATCACCACCATCACCATCAACACCAGCACCATTACCCATTCCACTCCAGAAGGAAAGATGATGTGGTTTCCTCCTCTTTGTTAGGCATTTACTGAATGCTAACAACCTGGCAGGCACTGTGCTGAGGACTTGACATGTCTCATCTCATTTAATCCTCACAGTAACCCTCTGTAGTAGGTATTATTGTTGTCATCCTCATTCCAAAATGAGGACATGGAGGCTTAAGGAGTTATAGTACATTACCCAAAGGCACATAGCTGATACATGGGAGTGTCTGGAGTAGAATCCAGATCTGATAGAAAAACTCATGCTCTTCACGCTAAGCTATCAGCTTGTAAGGAAAGGCATTTGGAAAAAGTTAGTGTTGACTGATATAAATGTTGGGAGTTCTTTTTCTAAATTTTAGTATTCAAATAATTCTGTTTCCCAAGCCCCAGTTGCCCTTTACTCCAGGCTGTTAAACACAGCCCTCAAATTATCAGCATTTAATAAGTGCCCAGACCTCTGCAAGATATGGTGAGGGTCAAAAGTATAAAGAAACTTGCATTCTCGGTGGGGGACACTAGGAGCCAATTTCATGGAAAACAGAAATGATTTCTAAACAGTGGCACAGAACAGCATTAAGCCCTAAATCAGGGATGTGCTGAAGCAAATACCTGTTGGTACAAGGTAGAGACAGAATAGGCATGGAGAGGTGAAAGAAAGAGGGAGAGGGCGCCTGGGTGGCTCAGTTGGTTAAGTGACTGCCTTCGGCTCAGGTCATGATCCTGGAGTACCTGGATCGAGTCCCGCATCGGGCTTCCTGCTCGGTGGGGAGTCTGCTTCGTCCTCTGACCCTATCCCCTCTCAGGTGTTCTCTTTCTCTCATTCTCTCTCTCTCAAATAAATAAAATCTTTAAAAAAAAAAAAAAAAGAAAAGAAAGAGGGAGAGAAGGGGAGACCGTGCCTCCCGTGAAAAGGGGGGCCTGCTACTCAGCTCCAGGCAGCTGTTGTCAGAATAGGGCACAGGCCTCAGCGCAATAGATCTTTGATTTTTTAAGAGACATATGAAATTCTGATTTTTCAATGCCATTACCCGATTTTTGTGTGTTGGCCACTAAATCAAACTCTCAAACATTCTGCAGATGACATTCAGCCAGCAGAACTCTGCTCTGAGGATATAAGGCTGTTATGAAACTTATAAGCTGGAGTCGGCAGGGGGGTGCCTTAAAGAAGAGGTGGCCCTGAGATAGGTCTTAATGGCAGGCGGAGGGGAGAGAGGGAAGGCGAACCTCTTGTACTTTCTGGAAGGAACTCTAGCCTCTTGCCTCAGCGCTTTCCTCAAGGGGTTGCCCCTCCCATTTCTCCCTCGTAATTTGTCATTCTTCAGTTCTCCATTTAAATAGCTCCCCCTCTAGGAGGCCTTCTGTGGCTACCGATCCCAGCCTCGGCTCGAGAGTGCTCCACACCTCCCCTAGCATCTGACACCTCCACCACCACAGCACGATGCAGAGCAGACCCTCATAAGACACAAGTATTTGCTGAATGAACACAGGAATGAGGCATTTTAAGGAGGGCCAAGTGTTGAGAAACAGCACGAGTCGAGTCCCGGGGAAACCAGCACAGCTCCCACCTCACCTGGGCCCCTTTGCTCTCCTTTCTCTTGCAGCAAGTCAAAACCGTGAGATTTCAGAATTACAGTCCTCCTCCTGCCAAACAGTACACCTCCCATCCCACCTCAGGAAAGCCTGAACAGCCCGCCACCCCTAAGGGGTCCCAGCCTGAAGCCGCCCCCACAGAGATGAACGTCCTATTCGCCCACCGAAGCGGCTGCCATTCCGGACAGCAGACAGACCTTCGAAGGAAGTCAAGTTTGGGCAAGACCATGACCCCGGTGTCCACTGCTTCGGCCACACAGACCGTGTTTCCCAGCAAATGAATCTACGGGTGGCTTTTCCCAGACCCCAAAGAGGTGAATTGCATTTAAATACAGTCTGCCTCCACTGATGGCGTCCTGCCATTCTTTGGCTACTCGAGCCTGGGTCCTTGTTCTGCCCATGTTACCTCTGGGAAAGGAAAGGTGGGAGCAGGGAGTCCTGCCCTGGCTGGGAAGATAAAGCATGTGGCCTTGCAAACATAACGACTTGAGGCAGCAAGGCCACCACTCAGACCAAGGAGTGGGAGACAGTCTTGCCTACCCTCCATGGAGTGTGCAGCCTCATCCCTTGTGTTCTGTGTAGAATTTCTATGGTGCCCTAAAGGGCTTCAGCCAGGGGTGTCACAGTGGTGGGAATGTTGGCATTGTTTCTTTGACCTCATCACCGTGTTCTCAACAAGCATCAGAACTTCTGCACACTGGCCACTAGCGGCTGCCATGTTGTTCCCTCCATTGAGTCGTAATCCTGGCTGCAAAGGGGGAATCTGGGGGAGGGTGTGAGATGGATACTCTGATCATTCTGAGAGTCCTCTAAAACCAAAGGGAGTCTGCTTACTGGATTTGGTCCAAACAAGAGGGTCAGAGAGAAAGCTATGATCATACTTTAAACTTCTGAATCTGTTTTCCCATGTATAATCCTATACGATACTTAAGCAGGAAGCACAGGGCTGTGGATAGGGTCCTGTATGGAATTATGGATAATTCATTCATCCTGGCTCTAGTCTGACTTCTCCAAGAAAACACAGCATGCTTCAAGACAACTGTGTAAGGGGTTTGAGTTTAGATATATATTCCGCTTGCATTACAACATTCTTTACCTTCTCTGATTTCTTCCCATTTGGGGCAGACTGGCTGTTTCACCGGATCATGGTATAAGGCAGCAAGGTCAGGGAGAAGGTACCAGCCCAAGGCTGGAGTGGGGACACTTCGTGGAGGACAGCTGCTAGAACAGAGACGGGGCAAAGAAGGTTAGAGAGGGAAGGGAGGAGGAGGAGAAGAGGGAGGGTAGAGAGAAGGTGGGGGGTGGGTATGAGAGAGAAAGACAAAGACAGGGGGAGGTGGAGGATAGTGTCAGGGAAAAGGGGGGGAAGAGCGGCTTTGGGGACAGAAGGACGGAGCCTGCAAAACCAGGCGACCCCACCGAGATGGGGCCGAAGCGAGCGCCTTGCAAACAGGGTTGAGGGGGCACCCCCGAGAGCTGAGGCAGTGTTGTAAGACAACCCATTAGTCCTCCTAGGACTTGACTGTGGTGATTTAACATCCACTGCACGCTCATGAAGGTGGGCTCTTCAGTGCATAAATGCCATTTGCCGCTAAGGCTGGGTGTCATTAAAAAAACAAGGCAGGTCTAATTAGACCTTTTCCCTGGACAGTTCTTGAAATCCTGGGATTAAAAACATTGATCTTTTACATACCCCCCACACACACACTTGGAAAACTGAATTGTCCACATACTTTTCCAGATATTAATAAAACGAAAACAAAACCATAATCCTACCAAGGAATACTGCCCAGGTGTCATAACTTTGGGGTTGGTAGAGCCAACATGGTAACACGTTCTAGAGTTTTCTGTGAGATGACCAACTCCTTGCTTCACTGAGCTGAATATAATTATCCAGGTGGAGAACTGGGAAAAAGTCACAAGGACAGGGGGGCATCCTGTATTGTCAAAAGAACACCCTGTATGAGTTTAGCAATGAGTTTAGTAATCCTACTCTACACCCAAGTGGCAGATGTTGTGACCAGCCAAGCAGATATTCAGACTGTGCCTCAGGAGCAGTGGATCCAGTTAACTTTTTTTTTTTTAAAGAAGTAGGGTTTTTTTTTTTTTTTTTTGATATTTGCTTCTTTCTTTTTTTTTTTTTTTTTTAATTTTATTTATTTATTCATGAGAGACAGAGACAGAGAGAGAGAGGCAGAGGGAGAAGCAGGCTCCCAAGGAGCAGGAAGCCCGATGCGGGACTCGATCCCAGGACCCTGGGATCATGACCTGAGCCAAAGGCAGACGCTTAACCATCTGAGCCACCCAGGCGCCCGATGATCCAGTTAACTTTTAACTGCTGTGGCTGACAAGCGGTTGGACAGGAGTAACGGAGACACGGTCCTTGCCTTCCACATGAAACAGAATATTCTTCCAATTGCCCACTGTCTTTATTGGGTAACCTTTCTGAGAAACGTCAACAATTCGAAAGGCTTGCCACCCCCATTTCAGACTCCTCACCAATGCCCAGCATCACACTTACTCCCTCCCAAACCAAACCCCATCTCCGGGCAGTCATATGAGGATTTGAAGGGAGCAAGAGAGAGTTATTTCTGAACTCACGGGCACCTCCAGTCATTTATTCCACCACCATGTTTCAGACAGTTCCTGTGTGCTGGGCACTGCAGTGAGGACAACAGACACATCCTCTCCTTTAATGTCTGCCGTTACCTCCTAAGGCAGCTCTAACTGTCCCCAGGACAGAGCCAGGGAAGCCAAGGCACAAAGGGCAGCCAGAGAGAGTAGCAGAGTGGGTTTGACAGCTGCCCGCGCCCCAAGTTCAAGCTCTCTGACCTCAGAGCCCAACATGGGCCTGTGCTTTGTGAACGAAGAGAGGCACCTTGAGCCCAGGCCACTGACTCCCAGCCGCAGGGATGTGACATAGTGTCACGGATGCAGATGCAGGCTCGGCCACACGCAGACTGGGTTCAAATCCCCATTACCACGTGCTAGCCACATGACGTTGGTCAAGTTACTTAACCTCTCTGAGCCAGTCTCACTGATAATAGTGGAATGATAATAGCTCCAGTCTCCATGGGCTGTCCTGAGGATTAACTGCCGTAGTATTATCAAGTGATGCAGCACACACCTCACACATGTCAGACTTGAATGTTTTTAAGGGAGCTGGCCACTGAAATTGCAGGTGAGGAAGCCTAAACAAGGGCATGGCTGGGGCGGTGGTGCTAAAAGGAAATGAGTATAGCCCCGTCATAGAGGTCAGAGCACAGGGTAGGCTGAGTACTGAACGATGAATAGGAGTCAGATAGCAAAAGGGGTGGGGGAGGGACATTCCAAGCAGAGAAAGAAGCATTTAGCACTTGCAGTAATCAAGCCAAGTTCTCTTACATTTAGAGGAATCCACTCCTTTGTGGAACACTGCAGGGATCCGAAGTAGAACCAAGTACCTCATGTCTGAGGACAAATATCCCATCCTGTGAGAGCGCCATCCTTCAGCCAAGACTCAGAGTCACTAGGAAGGTGCCCCTTCACCTCATGATCAGACCCTGGTATCTGAGCACTAGGAAAAGTGCTGAGGGCAGGCTCTGATTGGGGGTGGGGTCGGGGGGACATCTGAGAGGTGATGGAGGGGCACAGCCAGCTGAGAACACACTCCTAGGACCATACTTTTTTTTTTTTTAAGATTTTATTTATTTGAGAGAGAGCACAAGCAGGGGGAGGGGCAGAGGGAGAAGCACACTCCCTGCAGAGCAGGGAGCCCGACGTGGGACTCGATCCCAGGACCCTGGGATCATGACCTGAGCCGAAGGTAGATGGTTAAGTAACCGACTGAGCCACCCAGGAGCCCAGGCTAGGGCCAGACTTGAGGAAATGGTCCCCTTAAGCAGCATTAGGACCCTCACCTAGGGCTCGTCTCCTTCCTCTCTCATGTGGGACCAGCTACACCTCCTCTCCCTTCCACCATCCCATAGACAGGGCTTCTGGAGCAGCAAGAGCTCAAAGCAGCGTCCCACCTGTGAGTTGGTGAGATGCAGAACTGACCCAGTAAATACAGGCTCACTGACTTCCAACTTCCGGTGAAACTTCGGAAGGTCCATCCACCCCAGGCCTGCCGTTCCAGAACAGCAGCGATCCAGCAGGGCCGGGTCAGGGGCAAGCTGTAGTCAGATGGACATGCACTCTTCAGTTTGCCACAGTCCCCCCTACCCTGCTTCGCTCACTCACAGACCTACATGTGAGTTAGGCATGTTCTCCTGGAGTCTGTGTGCGGAACGTCATTTCAGTCAGTCTTCAGGGATGCCTTGAAAGTTGATCAGCTGATCCAGGCACTCGGGTCTCACGAGTGTAGTAAGCTTAGTCTGGGCCTAACAGGGTCAACAGTTTTGAGGTGGGGTCTAGGCATCTGTGTTGTCAGCATACTCCCCAAGTGATTCCGATGTATAAGAATCAAATCTACCTTTCTCATACCGTACAGTAGGACGGGACTGTAGCCACACTGGTTGCCAACATATTGAACAATGCCTGTAGTGATAGGTAAACAGTGGATGCTCGGAGCTCCCCGAGGCCTCTCCCCACTCCTGCCCCCTGGCCCTTTCTCCACATTCTCCCCATCGCTCTAGCTTCCAACAACCTAAGAGCTCAGGCCCGGGACAGCTGAGACCTTCAGCAATAACGCTCTTCTTCATTCTCACTGGCTAGTGCCTACACCATAGTGGTTAAAAATCTTGACTATTACCCTGTTATAGAGAATAAGGCCCAAAAAGGTCCCTCAGAGATTACGAGCACTGCTATCAAGCCCAGCACTCTTCCCAGCCACTGTCCAGCCCTTGGTAATCACTTCCATCAGGCCCTTGGCTTAGGAAAGGAGCTGACTTGGAGGGTGGGCAGTTCCTTGCTCACTGGTCTCCACCTTTTTTTAGCAAACGTTTTCACAGGTCCAAGCAATGCCCTTTAGCTTCCCAGCTCCTCTGGCATCAGTTAAGCAGGTATGGAAGTCGCTTGTCTCGGTAAGATGAGCAGGCGTGATCCCCACCCTCTCACCCACCTCTGCCCATACAGACCAGCCTCACAGCCTCTGTGGGAAGCGACCGGCTGTGGCAGGCAGCAGAGCAGAGTCCTATTACGTCTCCGCTGGGAGCAAGGGCTGAGCAAGCTGGGCTAAGCCAGGCCAACAGCTGCTCCCACAGGCGCCTCTTGCTTACGTCTGGACAGTAAAGACCCCAGTTCTGCCTTGGGCCGAGCGTAGTGAGTGTGAGCACTTCCAGCAACCTCTCGGGTGGCCGTGAATGCCAGTGGCTCATGGAATGTGCTGGGCAGG